TAATAAATGAATAAATAAATAAATAAATAAATAACTGACTACCTCTGGTCTGACCCAGATGTTACCTGAGATGGAGCTGGAAGCTGAGGCCTCCAATTGGTGTTTATACAACAATTTGGCCTAATGAAATCCTTCTGGATCAATGTTGATGTTGGAGAGAAAGGTAAGAACCAAACTAAAGAACTATCACCAGCATCCATCTCAACACCGTGGTTCTCAAGTATCAAACTTGTATGCATTGATTATTCCTGGGGAAAATGTGCTTTGGTTTGGATGAGAATGGGGCACTTAAGGTGACATCTCTAATGGATGGTAAAAGTGAAGTTTCCTTCTAGCCTAGCTCAGCTTTTGGTGACCTTATGGACACATCTTTGTAGTTTTCTTGGCAACAAAGTACAAGTGGTTGCTGTTGACTTCTTCTGTGATGTTTTTTTTGAACTTCCCAGTCTAACAATAGCCATGGAGTTCCCTGGTTCTAGCTACAGCATTTCAAAGTGATGGAGAAGAGAGAAAGAAGCCAACTTCATTGCCTTCTTCCAGGATGGCGGCATAAATCTAAATCAAAGAGACTATCCTTGGTAATTTGTGCCATCAGGCATGGGGATCTAGATGTGCGATGGAGCCCATGCAGTAGTTCTGTTGAGCAGGGATTGTTTTTAGATCCAGCTGTGGATTTTGTTAATTTGTATTGTTTGATCGTATTGCTCTTTGTTGTTGTAAGCCACCCAGAGTCATGCAGTTGAGATGGGTGGCTATATAAATTGAATGAATGAATGAATGAATGAATGAATGAATGAATGAACGCAGTTAAAACAGCAGCCTCTACCCAGAATTGCCGAAAATGGCAGTTTTCAGGAAATGCACAAAAAGGCAGAGTCCACCTTTAAAATACAAAGATGTCTTTCTTTCTTTCTTTCTTTCTTTCTTTCTTTCTTTCTTTCTTTCTTTCTTTCTTTCTTTCTTTCCTTGCTTATTATAAATTCTCTGGCTCTATCCTCTTGGCACCATGACTCCATCCACTGCAGGTTTTATTCCACCACCAATATGAAGTTTGGGAATGACTTTTTGCGGAGTTGTGTAGATAATTTCCAGGGTCAGGCAAAGCTTTGGATTCATCAGAAAGATGCTGTATTGGTGCATGGAGGGGAGGGGAGGGGAGGGGAGGGG